AAATACCACAATGTAGCATAATTGTACGGGAAATACTTGTCTTAGTTTGGTATAACATGTGGTGCTCAGGGCGAAGCTACATAGCCCTAAACTGTTCATCTTTCGTCAAAAAATTACACTGTATATATAGATAAAATATTATATTTTAGTGGTATATAACATATATTGAACACTCTTTATCGGTGATTTTTTCACTTCATTTAAGTTTGAACACCCAAGATGAATACCCTGGCTTCGCCACCGGTGGTGCACACAACCACCTCTCCTTCAGTACACATATAATGCAAAGAGGAAACACAGAAAGAGAGAGAGATATCAAAGCTAACAATTTAAAGAGTTTAATTTTAGTACCTGAGGCTGCTAAGACCACTTGAATTGGAGATATCAGTGAGAGGAACGTGGAAAGCTTCGGACCAAGAAAGTTGTTGAAGACAAGTAGCTGACGGAGTTCCCCAACGGTAACTTCCTTTGGAGAATTTGTGATTCTTTTCATTCATTTTCTCATTGAATGGCTTCTTGAAAAGCTTGATTTGCTCCATTCTCATTTTTTCCAATATATCATGTGATATCCCATGGTTCACCACTTGGAAAAAACCCCATTCTTGTGAAGCTTTAGCTATCTTTCTCTTGCATTCTTCCCTCTCGAATTCTCTTCCATTTAATAGCTCAAGGTCTATTAATGGCAACTCGCATTCCTCTACAACAAAGAGGTTGTGGTAATTTATGTTTGAAGCTTTTCCAATTCTTATGTCGTCAAAAAGTTTCTTGTATGTCTCCTCAAAAGGAGGATCAGGCGATTCTCGCATACTTAATTTCTGAAAATAAAAAAAGGATGATGTTAATTATGAGCACCATATTTGTAAATATAGCATCCACTTTTGCAAATCAGCAAAGATTATAAGGACCAAAAAAGCAAAAAGAAAAAAAGAGTAGAGAAGATGAACATGAAAAAAGAAGAAGCCAGAGGGTTTGCATATATCATCCACTTTTTAGTCAAAAGACTTCGTTTTTGGGTTTCGATAGTCCCAAATAAATAAGATGCTACTTCCCTTTTCTCTTTCTTTTCATGTTTTGTTAATCTTCACTCTACTCTTTTCTAGTTATATATATGGTCATTGAATAAAGGTGGAGAAGAGAAAATAAATTAAAGGCCATGCTTGTAAAGTTTCTGATTCAATATCTTTTTAGGTCATGGCCTGTTTCAATGACAATCGACGGTGAAGACAAAGAAGATACGCAGGAGGGAGGACGATGAGGGAGCAGGAAATTGAACTTGTGCAATGAGCAGCGACCAACAGGGACCCATTTAATTGAATATATATCAAAGTTAAAATAGGCATGTTTTTAAATCTCGGTCAAGATTCAAGTCAAGCATATGATATTGATTTTACATGGTTTTCCACAACATCTCCATCATGTGTGCAACAACAACAACAAACTCACTATTTTTTTACAAGTGGGGTCTAGGGAGGGTAAGATGTATGCAACCTTACCCTTACCCCGGGAAGGACAGAGAGGCTGTTTCGATCATGTGTACCCACATGCTTCATATATTGATCTTGAAGTACCTATAGCTTCTTAATTCCCAATGTTTTAAAAGCTTTCCTTTGTTTTTTTTATTGTGTTGTTCTGGGGAGTGGAAGGGAGTTAGATAGGGGTTAATATTTACCTTTGGATTACCAAAAAAAAAGGCTAAGCTTTAAATTGCAGCATGATTATTAGTTCGAGAGTGATGGAGAGAAGAGAAAGCAGTAAAAACTCCTTTTTTGGTTATCAAATTAAAGGTGGACTACTCCTCGGTAACCTAGGGCGATCTGTTGTTGCATATAATGTATACGTATTTAGCTGTGTAAATCAATTCGATCGAAGTGAGAACCACACAAGCTAGTATAGTACAATAGTCAATAATTGTACTGATTGATACTATAGAGGCCTTGAAGTGTGGTAGAGATTTAGACAGATCCATCCTTGTAAGCTTAGAGGTGATCGACAAGAGAGTTGCTCAGATGATCAACACTCCACCACCTACAACACAACACTAGGGTCGTATGTTCGAGTCACCAAAAGGAGCAATAGTTCCAACAAAGGGGAGGCAAATCGCACAAGAAAAAAACTAAGAGGTGATCAAAGTACACTTTATTAGTCATTGTATTTACATTTCAATTTAATTGATATACTATATATCACTCAGTCATTGCTTGATCACTATATATTCCAAAACAACATTTTTATTTGAATCGAGAAAAGTTCTATTATGCAAATTCAAAAGAAAATAATATTATAGAAGTACCAGGCGTAAAAACTTACCAGATTTTCAATGAACGAACTTCTTGTTAATTAATTAAAGTTCTGGTTAAATACTATTATGACACATTAAAGTCATATGATCATATCTTAATTAGCTGCGGCTCTCCTCCAGTCTTGTACTAAAACTTGACCATCTAATTTTCTAACATACCATATATAATCTCAACGTACACTAATATAACTAATGCTGGCGGATTAGGAAATACTGTTTGCGAAATGTATTTTTTATTTTTAATAAAAAACCACCATGGTAGTGGGGGTTAGGCCACGACCCCTACTAGTTTATTAATACCACAAAAAAATAGTACATGGAGGAGGATATAAACCTTGGCCTCCATTCGAAATGTATTAGCCTAGCCCTTCATAAACGCAGGTACTCTTCAAAGTTTTTTTTTTCCCCCGGTTTTAGAGAAGTCTCAGTTCTTAAAAGAACTCAGTATTTAAAGGGAAGCAAAAAGAATTGAGCAGAAGGAAGTGCATCTCATGCTGAAGTTTGGTGTAATCATAACTTTTTCTACTGATCACTTACTTGGTTTGGCTGTTGTGAGTGGTTCGTAGACTTCACCATACTAATTTTTCTTCCAAGGAGCAAGTAGTCCTTAGTACATTTAACCTGTGCATATAGCAAATCCAAACAATTAGTATATGATCAGTGATTGC